GGGTTGTCCAAGTCATTTTCATGATCTGAGCCGAGTCGTCCATCATGGCCTGGACTAATTCCATCTTTTCTTTCTCGGCCTTGGCCGAAAGCTCGTCAGTGAGGCTCTTCTCCTGCTTTTGCAGGCAGTTTTTGACAGTCGCCAAAGATTTTTCCATGGCCTCAAATTGGGTCATCTTCTGCCTAAGCGGCTTCAGCTCATCTCGAAGACCCTTGACCGTCGCCTCCAGCTCGTTGTTCTTCTTTTTGGCCGCCTCCAACTCGGTGCGGATAATGGAAGTGGACTGCGCCTGATAATAAAGAATATCAGTTGTCAAAATTTCATTTTGGGCAATTTGAAACATTTCCTTATCAACGTCAGAGGCGCCCATAGCTTTAGCAGCCTTTACCTCTTTTTTCTTGGCGTTGATCGGCCTTCGGAGGCCATGTACTCGCAGCATGGTCTAAAAAAGGGAAAACAGGCGTCAGAATTGAAAGTAACTTTCGGCAAGCAAAATCAATATTTTAAAAAAAAAAAATTATTCCAAGTCTACCTCGGAAAGGAGACCCATGATGCCGTCTAGGTCAAGGGTGCCGACTCCCTTGACCGCATCCCTCTCCTCTTGAGGGACGGCCTTAATCAAAGACTTGGCCATTTAGACCAAGTCTGGTTCTTGAGGGCCGCCTGCATTAAAAAAAAAAAAAAAAAAAAAAAAAAAAAAAAAAAAAAAAAAACAGAGAGAGAAACATCAAAAACATGAAGAAAGCGATGAAGAAATAAGTTAAGTCTAGCAGAGCTATTTATACTTCTTAGCGGCCGACTGTCCCTAAGGACTTGTGATGGTTTCCCCACACTTTGTGGGGTGATCGGCTGCTTGTCAGTTTGCGAGCCTTCGTATCCGGCTGCTGGGAAGAGGAGGGTTTGGACGTGCCCGCCTGCGCAAAATATGAAATGGTCAATACTAGTAATAGAAGACTTTCAAAGCAAAGTTTGAAAGATCATAAACTCACTATGGGCGTCTCCTTGGCAGGAGAATCAGAAGAGGTCCGATCCTGATGCATGATGGAGGTCCGTAGCAAGGCGGGCGCCTTCTTTGACGCAGAAATGTGGTCCATAGCTTCAGCTGCAAATAAGAACCGCATAGAGTTTAGAAAAATTCAGAAATAAAACAAAAGATGCATACATATGCTCAAGAGGTCGGCTACCTCTGGAGGACCGACTGCTAAGGCCGCAGGCGGCCAGAAAAAACTCGTCATAGAGCCATTGAAACTCTAGGACGCAGTTTAGGGTCACTTGCTCTCGTACCCCAGTAGTAGAGTTTGCCCTAATCTCTACTTTGAAGAGTCCTCGGTCAAGGATCTCTTCCCTAGCTTTGCGGGGAACAAGCGGCATGCTGCGACCGCCTGCTAGAAGAGGCGGATCCTTGTTCCACCTATTGTAGCGCTTGTTCAGCTGCTTGTCAGTGCTGGAAATGATGAGGAAGGTGTTTCTCCAATCCTTCCATTTATTTTCTTTGCCCCTCGTCATCAGATAGCCTTTGTGGCTCGTTATTTGGTACCATCCGATACCGCTTGCTTTGGGGGTCCGGCTAAGATAGTTCATATGGGTGAACGCCTCAAAATTTGGCTCCACCCCATGCATTTCACATTCGGCTACATAGCCAAGGATGTTGAACCAGGAATTCGAGGCTAACTGCCATAGCCCCACCTCGTATCCATCGAGGATTTGGTGAACAACCGGGTGCAAGGGAAATCGCAGACCAGCCTTAATGGCCGCCTCGTAGCAGCCAAAATAGGCGTCCCCGTATCTAGTCCCCGCGGGCCAGACGACTGTATCCTCAGCATCCGGCATAAATACTTGAAAATCAGGACCCATCACATGGTCCGATAGAAAAGAGTCTATTCGTTCTTTCATGGCCTTGATCCGGCCCTTTAAGACATGACAGTAGTAAGGAGTATTCAATAGCAGTGAGGTTAGAAGCATCAATCCCTTCAGTGACCGGCTGATTGCTAACCTAGGTCGTGCCGGATGCTTTTGAGGTCTCATTTTCAAAAAAAGAAAGAAAAAGTGCAAAAGCAAAAAGAATAAAGGAACAAACGGTTACCTGAAACTTAAGTTCTGAAGGAGAGCTTGATCGAACAGACGTCTAACAAAAGCAGTCGGCCTGTCAGAAATCATTGGCAGGTTAAAAGTTGTAAAGTGTCAGAGCTCAAGTTCAGGGGTCCGAGAGTTCTCTTGAAAAGTTCTCATATGTGAACAAAAGACTTGGTCAACATGCCCTTATATAGGGCAAAAGGAGAATAAGACTCCAAATTCAAAAAACGAGCAGGAAAAATGCTCCGCCCGTCATAGGGCGACACCTGTAGCAGGCTGTCGCCTGTTACAGGCCGACACCTGTCACAGGTGACATGTGAACAGTCACATGCCACCTGTGAGGGGCAAATGATTAGGGGATTTTTCCCTACCAATCATCACCTGACAAGTGGACCATTCAGGCTCTGCCAAGTGTCCGCCACATGGACCAATTGGAGCCTGCCACGTGTCAAGTGTTGATCAGTCCACCTTGGACCTCTTATGCTTCAACATGTGGCCTCCCCCCTGCCAAATGGGAAAACCGGCCACCTAGGCCCAAAGTCTTGTGGAAGCCCAATCAACCCTAGGTTGACCTAAACCTAGGACTGGCACGCATCCCAAGGCATATAAATACCTTCATTAATCCTCATTAATGGGGGTCAAGAACATTAATTACACTCCCCTAAACACTTAGATCACACCTCACCTAGAGGAACCAGATCTCCCAACCTTTACTTTTCCGCACTATTCACTCCTCATACACGTTCTAACTTGATCGTCGGAGGCGGAACTCCCACCACAAGGAGTCTCCGTAGTTTTGCAGGTACAGGCGCAAGGATACCAGTCCCGGAATTGTAACTCTCCCGCAGGACATCAAAAAACCCCGAAACAAGGCATATAATATATCGTTGGGTAGATCATCAAGTTTACTTTCCAACTCTATTAAAATCAAATTAGAATCTTTTGTATATTTTGAGATATCATTGCCGTTTTAATGCAAGGGTGTCGATTTTGAGCCGAGTTTTAGTGTTTTGGTCATATCTTCTTTGTTTTAAATTGCAATTTGGGTTATGATTTAACGTTGGAAATCTTATTTCAAGGCCTATCCATCTAAATAAAATTTGGATTAAAAAAATAAGGCCACAAAATCAGTTTAACTCGATTTTATGATGTGGACACAAAAAGATATGGTTTCGGAAAATGGGCTAAAAATTTGGTTGGTTTATGAAATGCATTGGATTTAATATGGATTTATATACTCCAAAGATTTATTACTCAACCCAACCAGTAATGGCGGTAAAAGGTTGTTCATCATCGGGTTTGATTTTAGGGAGACATTTTTAGGTGTCTACACCATCATTAACCTTAATTTTAAAATAATAATATAGATTTAATTAATATTATTGACTAGATTTTCCTCACATATATGGTTCCTACTCATACCACATTCACACTTTATTGATATTCCTTTTCTCTCGCATCCCTTGATTTTACATATTCTATTCATCCACTATCACTTTTTTAAAAAATTATTTCAATTAAATTTCCAACAAACCCTATTTAGATAATTAACAAGTTCAAATCAAGCGCATAAATATCTATATTGGTCAGAGTATTGCAATTAGAAGAAAAATGGAGGGAAGTATTAGAGTGTGTTTTATTCACCTTATTTATTAATCTGAACTTATTAAATCTTATTAAAACTTATTCTAGTTATAATTTGAACTTCGACAACCCTTATCAGAACTTATTTTTTTTCCTAAACTTAATTTATATGAACTTATTAGATCTGTAATAACTAAAAATAAAGTGAACAGAATAGACCCTTAATATTCGTCGCCTCATTACTTTTGATAAGGTCAAAGTCATGTTAATTTTCGATCAAATTAGTAATTAGGTAAGCATTTTGTTTTTCTAGCTCATTTTAATTATAATTTAGATCGGCTCAATTTGGATTTCACATTGAATTTGAGTTATCATTAATGGATTAAAATCGGGTGTCGGATCAAGCCCTATTCTTCCACTATATTTTTTCCTGAATCAACTTTTTTTTACTAAACTGGAATTATTTTTAAATTAAATTATTCCTCAATTTGGATTTCACCTGTAATATAATTGATAATAATTTATAGTTATAGTTATAGTATGTGTTAATTAAAGTCAATTTGATTCAACATAATGTAAGGATTTTTTTTTATTATTATTATTTTGTACTATAAATTAAATCCGATCCATTTTATTGTAATGTATCAGAAAAAAATAATTTTAAGCAAATAATATTAATATTTAGTAAAAAAATCTTTAATTTCTATTATACTCGTAATATATAAATTATATATATATTTTATTGTCTTAAATAAGTTGTTAATCCGAAAGATATAAAAAGAAAAATAAAGTAAAAATATATTTATTTTTGAAAAATGGTTTTTGGAGGAAAAAAACGACACTAGGAAGTGACATGTGTCATTTCCAATGTCTGTTTTAATATTATGTTATTGATTAATTTCAAAATCTCCTTGTGCGTTTTACCTAATGCCAAGTTACCCAAAATCAAAGAAATCTCTACACAAAACCCTAACCTCTCCCAAAACAAAGAACAACCTATATAATCTTACAAACTTCATAGTCATTTTACCCCAATATAAGAACTACCCCGGTCCCCTTCTTAAGCAAGTGTAGAGTGAAGTAACGTACAAAGTGATGATTATTTTATCATACTGAACCCAGGCATTAATGTACGGGTAAGAAAGCTCTATCGTACTCGAAAAACTCACCAGTAGTACACATCACTGTAACAGTACATTTCATACAGCAATTAAATCTGGTAAGAAAATTCAGACACTTAATCTATCTTTTATTAAAAGCCGGACAAAATGACCATTCCTAAGTAATAAATACCAATAAAATAGGTTGTTGAATTCTATACTCTATATAATGTTATAAACCCTCTTTCAGCACCTACAAGGCTACAAATGTACATTATTCTTACTTATTTTCATTACAACAATATTTCACTTTATTTTTAACTGCTTCTCTTCTGCCATACAACTGTCCCCATTTCTTATGTACTATATAAAGGAAGAGTAGTCACCTTATTTGCTCTCTTCTTTAAGCTTTTTCTTTCATTTGTGTTTCATTTCTTCTCTTTCCGGTTCGTCGCGATCCAAATAATAAAAAGATATACAAGTAGATATGGTGAACTTCTTCACATTGGTGACTGGGTATCCGGGTGCGAGCGGGTATGGATCGGCTACAACTGCTGAACAAGTTACTGAAGGGATTGATGCTTCTAACCTCACTGCTATTGTCACTGGTTTGTTTTTCCACATGCCCTTGTGCTATTTTCGTCTTATGTTATCACTCGATTTTATTATCAGAATTAGTTATCACATTATCTGAAACTCAAGGGTGGTTGTAATAATTAAGAATTCATCATGATTTCATACATATGTTACGGAGTGTGACGATTATCTAGAATTTCATGAATGAGTACGGGTGATTGTTATTTCCAAATGTTTAATAAATGATCAAATGACTCTATTTTTTAGCATTAGTTTCACCGAAAAGTTGGGTAACACGAATTTATTAAAAGTTTTAAAATGAATTGCGGTGTTCTTCTTCTTCTTCTTATTATATCCTTTGATTGGTCATTTTATAATTTAGATCTCGCACCATTGATGAATTCTCTCTTTTGAATTCGGGTTTTATTTCTATGTATTTAAATTGTTTTGGTTGGATGTTAAATTGAGGTCAAACATTTTTTTTTTATTACTTTACATCGTATCCATAAATCAGGTTATTAACCGCTTTTTTTGGGTTTTTATTGAAATGTACATTTTAATCCAGTCGGCTAATAAATTGTCAAGAATTTCTGAAATTGTTTTGGTTTCAAGTAACTTAGTTCAATTTGTCAAAAAAAAAAAAAAGAAGCTATTTTATCTGGACTGATTTAAATATCCTAAATTATGCTACCTATAGTAACAAAACTTATTTGTAGATATCAGTACTTATTCTTGAAAAAAAAAAAAAACAGCACTTGTTAGATTATTTTCATTATAACGGATTTTTTTTTATTTTATTTTTTGAATCACTTTGTTTGCAATAAAAAATATCCATGAAGTAAGTTAAAATAAGTTAAACAACCATAACTCAACAACCTTTATACAACATTTAGAATGAGGTAGATTGCAGTTTAATGACAACAAATAAGCCCACCAAAATTGCAACAAATTAGCAATAAATCATCATAAACGACAAATATGCCCAACCCCTATTTTTTAATTGTTAGTTTTTTAACTAAAGTAGTCACAAAAATTCTCCTAAAAGACAGGTGTACGTTAATTTATTGGAAGGCAGATCAAAGTTATCTTAAAAGTGTTTAATTAAATTACCTTTATACTACAAAAGTTATTTTTCTAATAATAAATTTTAACTTATAATGTATTAGACTAATTATATTAGCCTTTATAGTATGTAATCATGAATTTATAACAAATTACACATTAAAATAAAATTTAAACCAATGACAAATTAAAAGTAAGCCTTTAAGGGGTTAAAGTTACCCTCAAACTGATCGTTTTACATTAAAATTAACGTACATCCGCCTTACACAAGATTGAAGTAGTCCACTCAAGAGAAGTGAACTCCATAAATAGCACAAATACATTCATTCTCATTTCACCGCACTAAATTCCTTAATATGATTGTCCGAATCTAGCAAGAAAATCACTTAAAGACGAATGCAATGTATTTTAGCCAATCTATAATATAGTATGTGACATTTGATTTATTTTACCAAAACATTTGTTCTCCCATATTAATTTTTCAAAATGCCAACCATATACCAAAATTTCACCCATGTTTTCGATTTGCATCATCCAAATAGTTTGCACAACCTAAGATTTACCCAATTTGCTACATTCATCCTCTTATTGTTCCCTATTTCACATCCCTTCTTTAATAATTTCTCCGTTTTAAATTAGATGACAAAGTTTATTTGTGCACTATTCACATAACTTGCTTTGACTTTGTTTTGTGATTTCGTGATGAGAAAAAGTATAATCATGGAGTCTTATTAGATTCATTCGTCCCCACAATTAATTGTTAAATTTCAACTGTTTACAATTTTTGCTTATATATAACCAAGAATATTTGTTTTAGAAAGTATGCACTGTCAAACGTGCCTAAATGAAATGTATAATCAAATATGTAACAGAGGAAGTATGATATATTCTAAGTCTAAAAATTGTGCATATTCCTAATCTATTCTTACATCAAAGTCCCATTTCACCTTATATCATTTAATTATTAACTTTTTATAAGCCAAACTCCACAATTTTATTTTATAAATTTTGATTGTAACAAACTAAATCCCGCTGTTTTATTATTGTTATTATGTTTAATCAACCAAATTGCATTATCTGATAAAATCTTCTTACAATATTATGTTCACCTTTTTAAAAAGTTATACTCGTATAAAAGCTAAATGGGATATTCATTTGGGCCGGAGAGAGGTTTATTATAATGTTTGCTAGAAAGGAATGAAGTGTGCAACTTCTAACTTCCAACTTCTTCATTCAATCCTAATTTCTGTTGTTCTTCTTTATGGGGTGATGGGCCTAAGGATTTTGGAAATGTCTCTTAATTTCTTTTGGGCATTGGTTAATGCAAAGAAAGAGTTAAAGATCATTTCACGATTTAATGCATGTAAAACTTAAATATGCAACATATACCTAGAACAAATTACATGATCGACAACTTTACCACAGGTCCTCAACTACTATATAGTACTAGCTAGTATGTAATGTATGTATAGTAGAAGTAATTGTTACATTAATTACTTTTTCTAGTTGAAAAGATTCAGGGTATATTTAACTTTTAAATTCTCATTAAAATCATTAATTTTATATGTTTTTATTGTTTCATTCATGAAAACATAAGTTAGATTGTTGATATAATTAATTGTCTACATTGGTTAAAATAAATTAAATAATTTTTATTTAAAAAATTTATAAAAATCTAATGATACACTTTAGTTAAAAAAAAAATGATACACTTTAGTTAAAAAAAAAAAAAGTTATAACAATCTAATGATATACTTTAGTAAAAAAAAAATAAAAAAAACAAAAAATAAAAAAAAATAAAAAAGAAGAAGAGGAGAGTATAGATTTAGGGAGTGTATAGATTTACGGAAAAATGTTGGAAATAATATTTATGTAAGGCGAAGGCCTATCCGTTCTACCCTCCAAAGAATCATGTAAGATTATTGTAACTTGTAACTTTCTATCTCTCATAAATAGATATACCATGATTACAAGCAACGTTACACACAATGTATATTTATTAGCACTGTCAAAAACAGAATTGAACCGGTGAAACCGAACTGTTTCAACTTATCCAAATGAGAACCAAATTGATTAAAAACCGATTTTTTGAAACCGAAAACCGACCCGAACCGCTTGTTAGTAAAACCGAAACCGAACCGATCCGAGTAAATGTTAAACCGTTTAAGAACAGAACCAAATCTAAACCGAACTGAAACGAAACCGAACCGAAAATGAACCGAACCATTTCTAACCCGAAACCGTTTAAACTGGCATAAAAACTGTTTACACCGAACCGTTAACAAACTGCAACCTGTTTGCACCGAACCGTTTATAAACCGAACTGATTATAAACCAAACCGCTTATAAACCGAACCATTTATGAACCGAATCGCTTATAATTCGAACCGTTTACAAACCACCTCCTATTAGGGGTGGTTATTGGGCGGGTCAGTGCTGGTCATTATCTCCTCAATTCATCCCTCGTTATTATGACCTCAATATGATGTCCTGAGTTCGAAAAGAGATGGATTTTATGATTTCCATATTTCAAGAATGTTAACTGGTTTTAAATGCCTTACATTTAAAGAAAAAAAACACATAAGACTATCAGACAAGGTTCAAAGAAAGGGTAATGCAATGGGAAAACCAGAAAACAATATTGAGAAGATAGAGCAAGCACCTGAATATGGAAAATGCTATCGGTGCTAAAGCATGATCTTAAATTTGAACCATATGTTCATGTAATTGTTGCGCAGTTTTTTATCATAAGCTTATCATTGACATATGCAAGTCCTGTTTATTTTTCACCAATTAAATACTTCAAGGTCCACCATAGTATAAAAGAAGTGGTTGTCAAGTGGAAAGCCAGCAACCATATAGCAGTGTAAGACACTAGATCCTTTACCATCATACTCCTAAATACAGAGTAGGCATACTTCGAGACAAATAAGAAACAACATATCAATAATGTAATGTGACTAAAACTATTAATACTTGTTCATTTAAGTATGGTTCTATGACATTAGAACATTGTAGCAAAAGCCTAAACCACAATTTCATATCCTAATTACAATATTACATTAATGCAATAAACTTTTATAATATAATTTGTAATAAACTAGTAAGATCAGTATGGATAAATTGAAAACATAACATGATATGTATTTATAAAATTAATGAGAATTTGCATATAATATGATGCCTCGATATGAAGTGAAGTCTCGGCTTGATATAAAACTTGTTAACCAGCAAAAAGTTAGAAAGTAGTATAAAATTTCAAACCAAAATCGTTTAATTGCCCGAATCCAAACGACTCGATAAAAAACCGATTTTTTAAAATCAAAAACAGACCCGAACCGTAATTTAGTAAACCTGAAATAAAACCGATCCAAATATGTTAAATCGTAGAAGAACCGAACCCGTTAACGAACCGAACCAGTTATAAACCGAACTAAAATAAAATTGAACCAAAAAAGCACCGAACTGTTTCTAACCCGAAATTGTTTGAACCGGGACAAAAACCGTTTACACCGAACCGTTAACAAACCGCAACCCGTCTGCACCGAACCGTTTACTACCCGGACCGTTTACAACCCGAACCGTTTACAACCCGAACCGAATTTAAACCGGGATAAAAAACCGTTTATACCGAACCGTTAACAAACCGCAACCCGTCTGCACCGAACCGTTTACAACCCGAACCAAATTTAAACCGTTCAAGAATAAACATAAACCGAATCTAACCGATAATTATTTAAACCGAACTGAAACTGACCCGTAAGACATTTAAACCGATTTCAAACTGACCCGATTTCAATCTGAACCGATTTCAAACCGAATCGAAACCGAACTGTCAAACCGTTTTGACAGTACTTATTTATACTTCACAAGTCATTGCAAGCTCCTAACGCAATTTATTATAGCTAATTAATAACACTCTTAAAGAGGTAGTTGTTTCAAAGAAAAGTACTTCGTGAAAATGCTACTCCCCTCGTTCCATAATACAAGGACGGGGCAATAGTGAATTTACTACTTACATCCAAAAATTGAGCTTCTACTAAGTTCTTTTCGTACCAATATTGGACCTGCAAATTAATTTAGCATATAGTTTTTGTGTAATTTGTGGGTTGGAAATAATTAGCTGGAAAATACGTACATTTATTAGGGTGGAGGTTAGGAGCTGGGTATATACTCTAAGGTAATTTGATCCGCAACAAATAAAGTGGTTTAATTAACATTCTAGTTCTAATGTCACTATTCCTTATCTAATCAATTTAATTCATGGGACAAGAAGATGTCATTCTCAGCAGTTCATCGTCTCACACTCACATTACTTATCACTTTACATTTTTACACTTTTGGGAAATAATATTTCAGATTAAAGTACATTTGAGTAGATTGTCCAATTGCTTTATTGGTTTGGAAAAAATTGATTTTTCAACGTGGGCACCTCAATGTGTAATTGTTTAAGACAAGTAAAAGCATCTCTCTCTTTTTAGCATCTCTCTTTTGTTCTTTTATAATTGCAGCGTCGGTGAATTTATGCTTGCCAATACACGTATATAACATAAATATTTTAAATTATATTTAAGTAAAAATTATATACGGTCGATATTTTTAAATTATATTTTAAGACGAATCTGACAAGATCACACACCTCTATGTATTTTCTTACTTATGAATCACAAAAGCCTCAAAGAAAAGTGGGTAAATAGTGTAAATTTAACATTGCGATTTAAAAAGAACGAAAATAAATATATATCATTCAATTTTTTGGTAAATTTGCTGAACATTCAAGGATATTTTTGTTAAGTTTTGAAGAGGACTAAGATTACATGTTCATGGAATCAAGGATGTTCTAACCAAATATTATTCAAGCATAAATGTTGTACAGTATATCAAAAACTAATAATAATAGTATATTTAAAAATAATAATAAAAAAATAATAAAAAAAAAATAAAAAAAAAAACTGTAATTGTTTAATGGTTTGCCATTAATATATACAATTATGTTTATAATTAATAAAATTTGATTCACTTGATAAGACTTTATAGCTCGCAATCCTAAAGGGCTTGGGTATGAATCTTGTCAAGTAGTTGTGATTGGAGGTGAGGATCTCCTTACTTTAAATAGCAGTTACAAAATCAGTTACTATCGTTAAGAAATTTGTACTTGTATATTCCCTAGTTCAGGTGCTTGTATACTTCATTTTATGAATTTTAGAAGAAGTGAAAATTGAGAATGAATTTTGCAAATGTGAAGGAGGAGCAAGTGGAATAGGATTGGAGACAGCAAGAGTGTTGGCACTTCGGAATGCCCATGTCATAATTGCTGCAAGGAACATGAACGCCGCTAATGAAGCCAAGGAGATGATCCTCAAAGACAATAAATCTGCACGAATCGATGTTCTTAAGCTTGACCTCAGCTCTCTCACATCTGTCAGAGAATGTGCTAATAAATTCCTAGCTTTAAACTTGCCTCTTAACATATTAATGTAATACCATCTTTTCTAAATTCATTGGATGATTAACAAACTTGTACGACTTCAGATACTGCAAAGAAGATTATGCTGATATAAGAATATATGGTGTGTTTTAATATTGCAGAAACAATGCTGGCATTATGTTTTGTCCATTCCAGCTTTCTGAAGATGGGGTGGAGCTACAATTCGCGACAAATCATTTAGGTTAGTCAAGAATCATAGATTAGTTAATGTTAAGGGGTCGGCTCAGTGTTACATTTAATTCAGGACAGGGAGGGATTTTCTTGAATTGATGTAATGTCTCAACGGAATTGATTTGTTACATGACAGGTCATTTTCTGTTCACAAATCTTCTGCTTGACAAAATGAAGCAAACAGCTAAAGCTACTGGCATTGAAGGAAGAATAGTGAATTTATCATCAATAGCACATCTTCACACTTATCCAGGAGGAATTAGATTTGACAAAATCAATGATGAAGACGGGTATGTTTGCTTAGTTAGAAGCTCCTCTAATCTCCGTTTGCTTGAATTGAAGCAGCTCTAGCATATTAATTGTAACTTAATTTAATACAGGTTTGCTATTGGATCATATTTTTGTTTTGCAGTTACTCTGACAAAAGGGCATATGGCCAATCTAAGTTGGCAAATGTACTTCATGCAAATGAGTTATCACGCCGTCTAAAGGTTTTAATTCTCCTTCGATTCTTTAAGATTGAGTACTTACGTTAATTTTTGTTGTCATCATGTTCATAGTAACTTGATGTTTTGACTAGGTGTATATCGTCTACCCATGGGGATGATATAATTTCATATTATAATTTCCTATTCAGTTTCCGAAGATTTTCCAAGTACGAAGATTGGAAAACATACCTCCATCAGAGTTTTGTTCAGTGATTTTATTAACTGAAAATTTTGATGCTTAGTTATTTTGTCATTGAACATATCTTTTGCAATCTGCATGACTGCATCACGGCTCATTGCCTAACATTTTCCGAGGCCCAAAACTGATGGAGCAACCTATCTAACTATATTTCTGTATTGTCTGCCAGGCAGAGGGCGCCAATATTACTGTAAACTCTTTGCACCCAGGATTAATCATGACAAATCTCATGAGACATTCTTATTTCCTGATGCGTATGATTTCTTGTTCAACCTCAATCTATAACATGCAATCTAAAGACCCATTATCTTATCATGATCTGTAAGTACTGAGTGTGTGACCTTCAATTCATTGCAGGGTTTCTTAATCTTCTGACAGGGCTATTGTTATGGAAAAATGTGCCGCAGGTAAATATAAATAACTTACTCGCATCTATATTGCAATGCATATAAAGTAAATCAAACATTGTTCATTGTACTTAAAATTTTAGTATTAACAATTACAGCAGAGGAACAACAGTCACTGTCACCTGCAAGATATAAGCTAATTTTTTCAAGACTAATTGTTATTCTTGCTTGCATATTATTGAAAACATAGTAGTAGCTAGCTAAACCAGGTGATCAAATTAAAATATTTTGTCTAAATTCTTTTTAGGGAGCTTCAACAACTTGCTATGTAGCTCTCCATCCGCAATTAAAAGGTGAAACAGGCAAGTATTACGTAGACTGCAATGAGTTAGAGCCATATGCACTTGCTAAAGATGAGGAATTGGCAAAGAAACTTTGGGAGTTTAGCGAGAATTTGGTGAACTCAGCTACGAAGCTTAAACAAATTAATTAGTTCAAAATACATTTACCTTGCAAATAATTATGAAACAAAACAGTGTCCAGAATCTCTAAGATATAATTTGTTGTCTTGTGCTACTACCTTGAGCAAATCATCCTGTAACAGATATGTTTTATCTTCTATGTTATGTTATGCAATTCAAAGGCTCTTGATCTTATTCATTATTTATTCAGCATTGTAGCAAACACGTAATTTTACTCATCATAGAATCGTATTGAAGCCACGGAAATATGCTTCAAAACAATATGGACAATAGAAGAATAGATAACAGAAAACATATAACTGGTAATAATACATATAACACTAAATGGCCGATCAGATTTTATTAATCGAGCTGAAAGGTCTTGCATCCTATGCTTCCTATAGGATTCTCAATAGGAAAGTCCTATACGTAACGTTGCTTAGAGCTACAGGGGTAGTAAAGTATTAAAAGAGCTACAAAAATTGGATGAATTCAGAAGAGATGTTAGGATAAGTTATCATAGAGGGAAAATAGGGTGGTTCAATGTGTTAAGAGTAATTATCACCTCAATAACAAGCTAGATCAAGCCTACATACATTGATGCATGGATGACGTAGTTTTGGGCTTCAGATCATTGAAAACACAATTACACGAACAATAATCTAACATGCCTAAGGAAGGAATTGCCTTCCCCGGTCCCCAGGAGCAATGCCTTCAACTCGATTTTACCTCGATCTTTCATGTCAAGTTGTCATAGAACAGGATTATGCCGAAGATGAAGTGAATAAACAGAACTAGAGCCTTCAACTTGGTAGACCCTAGAATATTATGAAGGGCCGGTGGTCGAAGGCCGAAGAAAGCAGACAAAGAGTTAAGCAACGGAGGCCTCAACAGCTTCACAATGTATACAACCAGTTATTGTTTCAAAAAAATATATACAACCGGTTTATTTATTTATTTTTTTGTTATTTAATGCACAACTGAGTTGATCAATTTTGTTCATTTTGCACAATGAAGTGTTTTCTTTTTCTTTTTTTTTTTTGTTTGTTTTTCTCTTAAGTCAAATCAAATGAGCGATTTTTATCACTTGTGCAAATGAGAAAGCTTGATAATTTCCCTCCAAATTATATGTATTTGGCTATTCATGTAGAAGAAAGAACATACCACCCCCATTTTTTCTAAGTGCATTACTTTCCTAAATCAAACTTCGACCTGCTACAAATGGTATTAATGGTTTGCTCCTTACTCCCTTTACAAATTCATGATAACCTGCATTATGATCAATAATGGAGCTGTGTTTGTTTGGCTTGAAATCACACACGAGTTCGCCAAATGACAGGATATAGCAAAAATGTACACCAACTACAACTTCAATACATAATGGTATATACCGGTATACCCTATAATTGATTATTGCAAGAACCACATTTATAAGTATATCACATATACAACCATCATTCCCTACTTCAACTACATGCCAACTATAACCAACAAATTCTATTTAACGTACAATTAAAACGGTCAATCTGAAGTAGAAAAGGGAAAGGAAAAAAAAAAAAAAAAAGGATAATTTGCTGGATAACATCCTCAATATATAGTCAAGTTAAACATTAATTTGCATAGCTAGTATGTATGCTTCAACGAAATTAATTCTCAAAACCTGTGAAGTGTAATTAACAGACATACACTGTTAGGTGCAACTGCGAGTATAGTTTGTCCCACATTAAAAAAAAAAAAAAAAAAGGTCTTTCAGTTTATAACCCAAGTGGACTACTCCCCCTATTGCCAATTGATTTTAGGATGAAACCTCGCTGTGGGCTTTGGTTTGAGGGCTTCTAAGTTTCTAATTTATGGTAATGGAAATATAATTTGGAAAATTTAACAAGAATAATCCAACATTTGCTCGATTCTCCCAAATTAATCCAACCTTTCGATTATTTTTTAATAATCCAACCTTTGTCACCCATTTTCTTGTAGCAAACCTATGTGACCTGTTACCTAAATGTCAGGTAAAATATTTTTTTTTTTCTTTTTTTTTCCTCCTATTCCCTCAACCTTCTTCCTCCTTACTGCCATCCTCTCCTATTCCCTCATCCTTCTTCCTCCTTACTAACATCAATGGATGGCAGTCCAACCCACTACCCAACCATCAACAATGGCTTCCTATCTCTCTCCTCCTTCCTCCTCCCCTCTTTAACACCTTTCCACCTTCAAGTACAACAACCATCACCCATCTTCTTCATCCCTCGACCCCACAACCACAACCAACCCCTTCTCCAATTCTCCTCCGACCACCACAAGATACTGCTACCCACCCTTCTCGCCACCCTATTTGGATAGAATCCACCCCAAATCTCAAATCCATAATTAATTGTAATACCAAAGAAACCCAAACCCCCACAATTTCTCTCTCCTCATTTAGAAATGTTGATGTTATTGATTTGATGTTGGTCGTGGTTATGGTTGTAATGCTCGTGTAAATGGTCGGAATGGGATTTGGTGAGGTGGTATAGGTGGTGGGCTGGTGCCTTTGGTGTTGGGTCATGGATTAGGGATTAAGGGTTGGAGGTGGGTCATGATTGTAGGTTAGGGGTGAGTCGTGGATGGGGGTGAAGTGTGTTGTGGTTGGGGGTCGGGTTATGTTGGTTGTGGTGTTTTGAGGTTTGTGGTGGCGTGTGTGGTGCAGGGAGGTTGTCTGTGTTGTGGAAGGGGTGGGATTTTTTTCTGCTTGGGTGGTGGAAGTGAGGCCGGTTGTGGACAGTGTTAGTGGTGACTATGAAAGTGACGGTGGTGGATGGGGTCTGTTAATGGTGGCCATGAAAGGAGCAGGAGGGAGATATAAGAAAGTAGGTTTTTTTTTTATATATATATAATTATTATTAGAATTAAAAGATTAAAATTTAATTAATATTTTTAAAGTTAAAAATAAAAATATTTAACCAATGAGGAAGTGACATGTGGATTGACAACTGGTTGTATGTGTGGGGTGACCTGTTGGGGTTGCTACGAGAAAATGGATAGCAAAGGTTGAATTATTAAAAAATAATCGAAAGGTTGGATTAATTTGGGAGAATCGAGCAAAGGTTAGATTATTCTTGTTAAATTTTCCATATAATTTTGAGTGATTTGGCAAGGAAAATAACATTATGATGTCCTTTAAAACATCATCTTATCACAAACGTGTGTTTTTCAACATAAAATTGCAATTAAATCCATTACAAAATTTACAACTCTTTAATGGTTATATATGGTAATAGACGTTTACGAAGAAAATGATACTTGAGGTGAAATAAGCATCCTTATGGATTTTTGTATCACTTTTCTTATACTATCTCCGTTTCATATTATTTGCAACGATTAGACATTTTAGGTTTATTCCTATTACATCCAATTATTACTATATACCAAACAAGCTGACAAATTTCAATAACTGTATACCCTACAACATCAATAATCTTATGAAAATGAGGAAATACCATACCCTTGTGAGTCAATTTTGAAATTGACAAAAAAATGGTTAAATTCTATTTTATAAGGGAAGAGGTTTTTTTTTTTTTGAAACAAATCAATTCATTAATAAAAAACCATCCAGCATCTACATATGAAATTCAAATTAACAAATATATAAAATTGAATCAAATTAGGGTTTCCTTCATCAAAGCTACGATCTTTGAAAATATCTTGCACTATGGTACATCTCTCGTACACATCGCTAGAATATACAGCCTTTTCGGAGAGACAGTCTAACGATTTGTTGTAGCCGTAAGGATGATTTTCATCTGATTCGCTTGAACGCATTTGAAAACTTGACAACCGTTGCGATCCCGAACAAATCTTTACCAACGAACTGACAATAGGGCAAAAATGATTACCTTTTTGATAAACCCTAACACACAAACAAACCCTAAATGTAAACAAACAACTAAACTAACAAAAACTAACGACTCCACCATAGGGAGACGGACGAATATCTAAATTGCAAAACTAAAGAAAAAAGAAAATTAAGGGAAAGGGTCGGAAATAGTCTAATTTATGAAGAAATTAGACTATTTTCGGCCTAAACAACCAAGATTTTGGAGAGACCTTAGAAGAGAGGATGAGAGAAGAGGAGAGGAGAGGCCAGAGATCAGTACAGCTATGGCATTCATAAGGAAAGAGTTGAGGGAGTTATGTCCACAAGAAAATACTATATCCCTCAAAAAATAAAAAATAAAATAAAAAAATCGATTAAATTGGACAATAACAAAGGCCAACCAAGCAGAAATAACAAATTGCTCTTGAATCTTAACTTAGTCAAGCATAATTGACAACTTCAATTACAGTTTCATTTGAAAAATAAAGTACAATAAAGTATGACAACAACCTCACAACATGACTAAAGCATCACAAAGTACGTCAATTTAGCAAAGTGTCACACTTAACATTGTAGTCTCGAGCATTTACTTAGCATTCATGCATTTGATCTACTATTGATGGAGAAACTCGGGTCATTCTTCTTCCCAAGAATAAGGGGTCCGGGGGATGCATTTTATGCACGCAGTTGTTCACTTGTTCACATTTCCACCAGCATTTTTGGCTGTTGAAACGAACACTATAAGGGGGGTGAATTGTATGTGAGTTCCTATTGACTACTTTTGCGGAATTAAAACAGAATATAAAAGAACTTAGCAAAACACACAAGATTTTAGGAGGAAATTCAGGGCCCAACTGGAAGTAAAACCTCGACCTTCCAAGAGATTTCAAACACCAAATCGATTAATCCACTGTAATAGCGCAAACTATCCTATTTACAACCTATTATATTTCAGATTTTTCTCACAAGTTCCTGTATGAACTTGCTACTCGATAGGACCCTATCCTACCCAACCTAAGTCCCTGACTTAGATTCTACTTAGCACTCCCTGAATGCTCACACTCAGCTTCAACCTTGAAGCCTACAATCTGTATGCACTAAGCTAAACACTCACCCAAACCAAAAGAATACAAACTCTTGACTCTAAAATGTGATAGGAAAGCTACACATGGAATCCAAAACTAATATGACAAAGTTTAGACTTGGAAAACTTACACTTAAGAGCTCTCTTCACATTTTTCACGCATAAACTCACAAATTGTGTAAATTATGAATTCTACTTTATACACAAGAAGTACTCGTATGTAAAGTAGGGTTTTCAAAAAATAGAATTATAAAACTACCATTTTCATA